ATATTCTCAAGCACGACGTTAAACCCAATTTCACCTCACCTCACCTCACCTCACCTCACCTCTACCGCAGTTTCACACTGATACCCTACTCATACAAAGGATTCGGACTCCGAGCCTGTCTTAGCCCCTTACTGCCGTGGCTGGGTTAGAATTGGTCTTCAACAACCCATGCTTGTCGGAAAAGGCGACTAACGGGATCGGATGGTCAGGCTCGCTCACTTGGTTGACGCATGTCTCCCAACATGCTCGTGATGGTGATCACTGGATTGTCTGGTCCAGACTCGATTATTTACAGACCGCCGCCATATAGCGGGAATATTGCTGATTGTGGGTTAAAACTAAACTTACTCGCCTTACTGCCGTGTGCCAGGCAGGGTATCATCAAGCACCATCTTTGTGGTCTGACAAGGCCTGGGATACAATCAGCATCGATCTGATCAATGTTATTGATTCTTGGTTTGTTGTTTAACGCCGCACTCAGCAATATTCCAGTTATATTGATGGGGTCTGTAAATAATCGAGTACGCACCAGACAATCCAGTCATCAACATCATGAGCATGTTACGAAATTGGTATACGATGACATGTGTCAAACAAGTCAGCGAATCTGACCACCCGATCCCGTTAGTCGCCTCTTACGACAAGCATGGGTTACTGAAGACCAGTTGTAACTTGGATCTTCAAGGGTCTGTAACTTACAAGCAAGTCAATACAGCAGTCCACACATATATATTATAGCCGAGTGTGTTACGGAATCATCAATACCAGACACTACGAAAAGCACTGAACGATGCGAACCTTGTAGATTGTGTTCATTACTTGAAATTGACGATAGGGAAGCACAATGTAATAAGGACTTTAACAGAGCTTCAAGCCCCAATAGAGACAAAAACCTTCAGCTGCCGGGGTCCAAATGCCTCAGTCCCCGGTACCCGGTTAGTTCATCCTGAAGTTCATCCTGAAGTTCATCCTGAAGCCAACGCATATTTTCAAATTCCCTTCTCAGATGTATTCAGACCTACTTATATGAATTTTAACGGATTTGTATATTTATTTTACAAATGAACCCAGTTTGAGGTAAGATTAATCATTTTTGTCGTGTGTGCGCGGGTCTCAGACCAAATGTGTGAGGGCTGACTTTAACATATAATGCCATTCACAGAACTAATGAAGGTATAAGATGCAAATTCCCTCAGTTTAGTAGAGGTAGAAACTGCGCGTGTCTATAGTGTTCAGAGTAAACCAGACAGATATGTCAGACAAATGTCATTAAAAGTCTGACCACCCGATCCCGTTAGTCGCCTCTTACAACAAGGATGGGTTAATGAAAACCAATTTAACCTGGATCTTCAAGGGTCTTTCCTAAGGACCACCGAGTGCGTGTGTGTGTGTGCGTGCGTGCTAGCGAGCGGTTATGATTTATGCAAGTAATAATTCAATATCACTAAATAGTGATTATAGTCCACAGGGGCGTGTCACGCTTAGAAACAGCGTTAGAAAGACATATAGGTATATAGACCCTACCCTAGTATGGTACTAGGGTAGGGTCTATATACCTATATGTCTTTCTAACGCGTACTAGGGTAGGGTCTATATACCTATATGTCTTTCTAACGCTGTTTCTAAGCGTGACACGCCCCTGTGTTATAGTCATCTTCGCCGTTGGAATGTTTGTGAAATGTCTTAGTATGAGCAACCAAACACTTCCAGCCAAGGCTCGGAAGACACAGGACAAGGCGCGTCACTGTGATTGTACGACTCTTCACCTAACTAGAATGAGTGTGTGAGTTTAGTCCCGTTAGTCGCCTCTCACGACAAGCATGGGTTACTGAAGATCAATTCTAACCCAGATCTTCACAGGTCAACTAACTAGAAAGTTAAAGGTGGTCTAGTAGTGAAAGCGTTCGCTCGTCACGCTAAAGTCCCGGGTTCGAATCCCCACATGGGTACAATATGTGAAGCCCTTTTCCTTGCTAGAATATTGCTGAAAGCGGCACCATACTCACATACTCACACCATACTCACTCACTCACTCACTCCACCAAAACAGTAAATATGCACAACGTCATTCTGAAGGTGGTCAAATATTTGTAAAACTTGGTAAAACTTAAAAGTTGTCACAAGTGCTGGGTTTTTAATAGTATTTGGGGGGGGACGATGCCGTCATTTAGTAACGGGTTCGGTTCGCTCGTCATGTGGAGGTTCGACATAAAACCTACCATAAGAGTGAGTGAGTGACTGACTTTAGGTTTACGCCGCTTTTAGCAATATTCCAGCAATATCAAGGCAGGGGACACCAGAAATGGGCTTCACACATTGTACCCGTGTGGGAATCGAACCCGGGCCTTCAGCGTGACGAGCGAACGCATTAACCACTAGGCAACCCCACCGCCCCAGTACACAAACATTATCACGACGTAAATGTAATGCAGAGTGGACGTTTGAATAAAGTTCGAAAGACCCTTCTCCAAACTGCACCCATCGTTATGGAACGAATCGTTTGCCAGGGGAGGTTACTCTATCAATCCAAAAGAACAGAGAGCTATTTCTCCTGGGCTTATTGCGTTGGCTTGTTTGTGATGGGAATGAGTTCAAGCACTTCCATAACAATAAACGTCTCAGTATATCTTTTTGTAATTGAAAACTGTCAGGGTCACCGAAGCATGACGTATTCATATGATTATCATAGAGATTCCTGACTCCGGAACCCGTCCGTGCTAGAATGAGTGAGTGTGTGAGTATGGTGCTGCGCCGCTTTTAGCAATGTTCTAGCAAACACTTTCAATCACGGCGGGGGGACACCAAAAATGGGTTTCACACATTGTACCCATGTGGGGGAATCGAACCCGGGTCTGACGATCGAACGCATTAACCACTAGTACCCCACCGCCTCCTTCCATACTAGAAGAGTGAGCTTTACGCCACAGTCAGCAATATTCCAGCTATATGGCGGCGGTCTGTAAATAATCGAGTCTGGACCAGACAACCCAGTGATCAACAGCATGAGCATCGATCTGCGCAATTGGGAATTCGATGACATGTGTCAACCAAGCCAGCGAGGCTGACCACCCGATCCCGTTAGTCGCCTCTTACGACAAGCATGGGTTACTGAAGATTAATTCTAACCCGGACCTTCACGGGTCGCATTTTCTCTCTGCTACAAGTGCTGTCGTAGTATTATTTGTAGGTACACATTTATTTACATTAACCGTATAAACGTCACAAGAACAATATCAAAGCTCTATAAAAGACCACATGGTCACAATTTATGTAACCAAGTTATTTTCTCAGGGGGCACATAATTCATATTGTTACACCCGTTGGTTTTCCGGGTAGGAATATTGGTCCCCACCAGCCCGGGTGTGTCGACATTTTGAATCGGATGGTCTGGCTTGTTGACCCGTTAAGATCCGGGGTAGAATAGGTCTTCAGCAACCCATTCTTGTCATAAAAGGCGACTATGCTTGTCGTAAAAGGCGACTAACGGGATCGGGTGGTCAGGCTCACTGACTTGGTTGACACATGTCATCGGTTCCCAATTGCGCAGAGCGATGCTCATGCTGTTGATCACTGGATTGTCTGGTCCAGATTCGATTATTTACAGACCGCTGCCATATGGCTGGAATATTGCTGAGTGCGGCGTAAAACTAAACTCACTCACTCACTCACTCTGGCTTGTAGATTTCATGTAGCCATAACGCAACTGCGTGGATCAATGCTCCTGATGTCGATTACTGGGTTGTCTATTTCAGACTTTCGTCTATTTGAGCATGTTTACATACAGCATCCATATTATCTGGTCGCATAATCAGTCAATACACAATGTCTGACCACCCGATCCTCATATGATGCAGCTACTGCAATGGACTGTAAATCCCTACACATGAAGTACATTACTTTACAGATGGTGATGTTTGGTTCGACACCCAATAACACATTTTGGGGTTGTATCTGTATAGCATCACTCGCCATTTTGATGTTTGCTGTTTAACGCCGCACTCAGCCATCTTCCACCTATATGACGGCGGTCTGTAAATAATCGAGTCTGGACCAGACAATCCAGTGATTAACGTCATGAGCATCGATCTACGTTATTGGGATACGATGACATGTGTCAACCCAGTCAGGGCGGTGGGGTAGCCTAGTAGATAAAGCGTTCGCTCGTCACGCCGAAGGCCCGGGTTTGACTCCCCACATGGGTAAAAATTGTGAAGCCCATTTCTGGTGTCCCCCGCCGTGATATTGCTGGAACATTGCTAAAAGCGGCGTAAAACCAAAGTCAGTCAGTCAGTCAGTCAAACCATTCAGCGAGCCTGACCACCCGATCCCGTTAGTCGCCTCAAGCAAGAGTTGCTGAGGACCAATTCAACCCGGATCTTCATGGGTAGAGAGGCATATTGTGCGCAGATACATGCACATCAACCCAGAGACATATTTACTTCTTAATTCGATTTAATGCATATGAAATTTATTTTTTCAGAATTAAAATGTATTTCCCCCGAATGATCAATTTATGGTAAATTTATATAAATTACTTTCTGGAAATAATCCCGTGGAAACACCCTACTCAAAACTCTTATAACACCAAATGCCATACCAGCTCCATTATTGATTTAGAAATCAGTATAGAAAGATTCCAGCATTTCTTTACAAACCTACACCTCACAGACAGATCTTAGCGTGTCACTCGGATCCGAATGATATATCTCCGTATATTCAGTTGTCGTTATGTCCCAACAACGAGATATACCTACAGGCTCACCTAGTCGGAATGGCATATTTCACCGTAGAACTCTACCGATAAGGAGCGGCCAATTTAGCGGTTAGTGACTTTTTAAGCCTGTCAAACAGTACCGTACCACTGATCGCTGTTTGTGAGCGCTTTGGGCTTTGTCAACAGAACCGGCTGGTTTTTGTCCCCACTCAGGGTAAAGCCATTACCATTGACAACCAGTAAACAACATGGCGGCGGTGTAATCGCTCAATCAGCTCCCCGCTACAGTCGAGGCAAGTCGCCGACTGATCGCCGCAGGAATGTGACGGTGTCTGGAGTTAAATGTCTCAGTCTCTCAATATGACCTTATTTCTCCCAGAATGACCAACAAGAACAAATGTGCTAAGAAGCCGAGGCTGCGATATCTGGACTTGTCTTTTGAAGGACGTGACCAGGCTCAGCGCGCCGGCATCAGCAACGGGAGACGACCCCACGGCGGCTACAAAGGTAACCGTATAGTTAGTGTATGGAAGGTCAATAGTGCAATAAACTCAAATACTAGAACATGTGTGATGACAAAGGTTGTACGTCGCGACTGACTGTTTTATAAGTAGATAAGGTATAGATACATGTTTATATACGTATGAATGAGGTGTCGTAAATATTTACGTGTATCGCTTTTTAAAGTTTGTGAACCGTGGAAAATCATGTTAGAAGTGGTCTTCAACAACTCATGCTTGTGAGGCGTGATTCTCATGCTCGGGTAATCAGGGATGCTGATTTGGTTTATGCATATCATTGTTTTTCGTTTGGATACATCGTTGCTCATGATGTCACTCACTGGATTGTCTAGTCCAGATTCAATCGTTTATTCCCCGACAGAATGCTGTTATGTGCGGCGATAAACAACAGAGAAATATTTTTCACGTTGAAGAGGACCGTATGCTGTTATGATCCCCCATACAAGTACAATATTTAAAGCTCATAATGTTGATCACTGGATTGTCCAGATTCGATTTTGTACAGACATGTTTGTTGAGTAAGGGGTTAAATGACACACAGTAAGTTGTATCTATATGTTTTGATTGATAACCACGAAAGATACGGGTATTTAGTTAATTTTACGACCCGTGAAGATAAGGGTTATGATTGATCTTCAGTAAACCATACTTATTGTAAGAAGCGACTAACGGGATCGGGTGGTCAGACCCGCTGACTTGGTTGACATATGACATCATACCCCAATGCGTAGATCGATGCTCACTGGTGATCACTGGATTGTCTGGTCCAGACTCGTTTCTTTAGAGACCGCCGCCATATAACTGGAACATTGCTGAGTGCGACGTAAAACTAAAACAACACACTTCAGTAAATTACAAATGTATATGTTTTGGGTTGGGCTTTTTTATGTGTTTCAAGAATTAATACTTCTTTAAACAGACATAAGTTCTATGTAAGGGGTGGTGGGATAGCCTTTCTGGTTAAAACGAAGACCCGGTTCCATTCCCCACATGGGTACAGTGTGTGAAGCTCATATCTAGTGTCGTCCGTAGTGATATTGCTGGAATATTGCTAAAAGCGGCGTAAAACTAAACTCACTCACATATTATGACGCCGGGGTACCTGACCTTATTTATGTGGCAGTTGGGTAGCCCAGACGTTAAGGAGTGTCCTCGTTCCGGTTTAGTCCTGGGTTCGAGGCCGTATTCGGATAGATCATATGTAAGGTTCTTGTGAGTTCCCCGCCGTGGTATGGTGTTAATATGAATAGTAACAACGGCTAACAACATCTTTTACACACGACGTGTCAGGTTATATCTTATAGCATGAACTGAAGGGCATTGCCAATTCCAAATACAACTATGTATTAATCTGGGTATGGAAACTCTTTTCTGTTGCTTCCTCCAACCTCTTTTAATGGACATAATTTTAATTTTGAAAGGAACTAATTTATGGAAACATCGTAACAGTTCGTCAAACAGCTGTTGTTCTAACAACGATCAATCAAAATTCAAACATGGCTAATCGGTATATAAACGAGTTTTTTAAAGTAACACATATTCACTTTTTCAAGAGTAAACAACATACCCCATATCTAGTTTCATGAACATACCAAATTAATGAATAATTCACACAATCATACAGTGCTCAGATTGTACAACTGTCCGTAAAGGACAGGTTCCCGAATAATGAATATCCGTGACACCACATTTCACCAATACCACTTGCAAAATATAAGTAAATAACCTACCCTGACTTTAGCACAAAGAAAGTGTTATGTTATGCCCGGAAGCTTATCTATAAGGAGATGATATATATTTACCGGGTTACATGGTCAATTGTACTTCCTGCTTTGGCCAATAATAATATTTGAACAGTAACAATGGCGCCTGATCGGTTATATAAGGCTACTATTGTGTTCGGTACAAACCTATTGAGGAATGCGAACGGAGTGTTTATCTTTACGTTCGATTATGCAGCATGTAGTCCTCAATAGAAGTTAAGGAACACATTTGTTTATATGATTGCAGTTAATCATGTTTACATGCTCCCTGAGAACTTATGCTTCTCGCATTAAGTTAAGGAACATTGTTTGTGATCATAGGTGATAGTTCATGTTCATGTTACCTTGTTCATGTTAATTATATACTTCTCAAATGAGTGAGTGAGTTTAGTTTTACCCCGCTATTTGCAATACTTCAGCAATATCACGGCTGGGTCATCAGAAATGGACTTTACACGTTCAAACCATATGGGGAATCGAACCCGGGCCTTCGGCGTGACGGGCGAACGCTTTAATCACTAGGATACCCCACCGCCCCGTTTCTCAAATTTAGTTAAAGGCCCGGGTTTTTTTATATGGTATTTCATGGTTACGTAACTACATTAGAATGTCTTTTTGTTCAAATTGATTCCAGTATGGTCGTTGATTGAACTACATCCCATGGGTATTCAGTTGGCGATGACGTGTGAGAGATATATTTATGGGAATCTGTACGTGACGAAGTTCAGTGCTCTCTTTTGAAGTTTTGTTTTGTTTTGTTTAATAACATTTTCACTCTGATGAATGTTGTCAAAACGCCTTTAATAAAACATCGGTTGTTTTCGTGTATTCGACATCTTATTTACAGTTAAATGATGTACATGGGGGTTAACGTCGCGTTTAGCAATAGTTCAGGTAGATCAGAGGAACATGAGATCATCAAATTGGTTAAATTTTAATGGCAGGTTTGGTGTCGAAACCCGACATGATGATGGAACCATTTACCAAATGATGGCCACATAAATATCATCAGGTACCCCGGCGTCATAATATGTGAGTGAGTGAGTTTAGTTTTACGCCTCTGTTATCAATGTTCCAGCAAACCCACGGCGGAGAACACCAGAAATGGGCTTCACATATTATACCCATATGGGGAATCAAACCCGGGTCTTCAGCGCGACGAGCAAACACTGTAACCACTTGACTACCCAACCGCCCCGTTTTGGTGGAGTATGCATTCCTAAGTGATTACAATATACACTCATTTCTGTTTTCTGTAAAGGCGTTGTCGGTGTTTCAACCACAATTTCAATTAAAAATTCATAAGCATGCCCATGAAGATTTATTACATTTCATAATCAATGTTGAGTTGTCCCGCATGACGTGGACGACAGTGTAGCATGTCATCTGAGTTGTATATTTCACATGACTACATTGTCAACAGAGAGCTCCATGATCATTCTTTCAATGCATTATTGATGTAAGATTTTTATTCAGGTAATAACATAAGTGGATATTGAACATATTATGGAACACAGTAGTGTAGTGGTCAGCATGCTGGCCTCTCACGCCAAAGGCCCGGGTTCGAATCCCGGTAGAGACACCAAAAAGTTGTGACCTGGGTCTGATACTGTGTTGCGTCCATGGGCAAGCACTTCGTCCACATTGTACCCAGTCCAACCAGCTGTTCAAAATGGGTACCTGAGCAGCGGATGTACGGACCTATACGGTCGCGCGAAGCGCTTAGTAGCGGCTTTGAAAGTACAATTCCGTCAGGGTAATAATGTAACACCAGAAAACAGCTTTGCGTTGGATCCCAGGGGCAAAAATTAGCATTATTATTTTTATGCATAAACAAATATCTCTTTTTTTATTCAGACGGGCTGACACATACGGAAATGCGCTTGGATATATCAGAGTTGTAACAATTGATCGAACATATTCATATGTACAATAATGGATTCAAACAATGCAAATTGGGAATATCTTTTTTTAAATGTGTCCTTATTTTGCAAATTAAAGGTATATTCTTGACCATGTGCATTCGTGCAATAGTGTAACACAATTGTGTTGTTTTTTTGTACAGGCCGCCTCAGAAAGCCTTTGAGCTATATTTGTTTCATTCTTTTTTCCCATTTGCAATTTTTTTAATGACTTTGGCTGGAGACTTGGGACTGAATAACGGCCTCTGTGATAAACCAGATGAATATCTGTGTTACTAATGATTCAACGTATTCGTCCATGTTTTTTTTCGGAAAACAAGTCAACATAAGTACAAAGTACGCCAACCATACTGTCATTGATTCAATTTTCCCACCCGCGAAGATCCAGGTTAGAATTGGTCTTCAGCAACCTATGCTTGTCGTAAGAGGCGACTAACGGGATCGGGTGGTCAGGTGACTTGGTTGACACATGTTATCATATCCCACTTGGGTAGATCGATGGTCATGCTGTTGATCACTGGATTGCCTGGTCCAGACTCGATTATTTACAGACCGCCGCAATATAGCTGAAATATTGCTGAGGGCGGAGTGGCACTAAACACACCCACTCACTCATTACATTTTCCAGTCGCCATGAGCCTCGCACAATCTCTACATGGGTACAATGTGTGAAGCCCATTTCTGGTGTCCCCCGCCATGATATTGCTGGAATATTGCTAAAAGCGGCGTAAATCCATACTCAGTCAGTCGATCAGTCTACGGAAACTTTCAGACAATTATCAGAGATAACCTAGTGTCAACAATTTCGCATCCCAAACCATGTGCTGTATCTATATGCTCTTGGCTTTGTCATGTCAAATCACACAAGATAATTTTGATGCTGTAGGAAGGTGCATGTACTTTTCAAACTATCGCAGCAGCTGCAGTCGTACTAATACGACAGTCGTATCATTCCGGTGTTGTTGAGTGAGTGAGGGAGTGATTTTTCATTTGCACAAGCTAAATACAAGATGGTTACAAATAAATATCGTTGAGTTAATGGACTTTGGGTAGTTTTAATAAGTTTGATTTTCGTAAAATAAATATAATTTTACAATGAAATATCGCTGAGATAATTAACTTTGGGTAGTTTTAATAAGTTTGATATATTTTCATAAAATAAATACATTTTTACAATGAAGTATCGTTGAGATAATGAACGTTGGTTTGCTTTAATCAGTCTGATTAGCATGATGAGAACTGTGCCAGGCCACAAATGATACTGTATTTTCCCATGGATATGAGTTTTGTCAGAGACACAG